AAATATCTTCTGCCACGTGAAGGCTGAGTACACAGACCCACCGTTGTTCTTTTAAGTCACAGGTATTTCTATCCTGATGATGCAGGTTTCATATGAAAACTAAAAATTGCACTATTTGGGACAACGTGAGTTTTGTTCATGCATTGCATGTCTGAGGTATCTGGGCCCATGCAAAATTAAGTGGGAAACGGTATGCCCCTCCTGGAGACGGCGTGCCCTATCCTATGCACCTTCAGTCCATAGTGAAGGTCTGATGAACGCCTGTTGATGGAAGTGCAGTGGGACCTGAATGTTCTCAGATGAATTGCTCAAAATGACAAATTCTGGGCATTGATCCAGGGGCACACATCCTCCTCACACTTCTGTCCAGCTGGCAGCAGTAGATGGTCAGCAAGATACGTTCATACCCTGAGGTAGGCCCTGACCTGTGTGCTCATACATCATGTTAGTTCATTTAAGCCCCACAAGAAGTCTACGAGGTCAATACAATCAATATTTCCATATACCAGGACGGCAACGGCAGGCACAGAGAGGTGAAGCCACTTGCCAACAAGGCACAGAGCCAGGATCCACACCCAGGCAGCCTGGCTCCCGGCTCTTAACTTCTAGGCTAGGCTAAATCTTAAAAGAATATGATAATAAGAATAGATACCGTTCATTTATATACTGATTTACTACTCTAATAGCAGCTGCTAACATTTCTTGGGCTCTCACTCTGTGCCTAGCACTGTGTTCAGCAATGCACAGATTGTAAATTCCTCCCAACAGCCTTTCCAAGTGGGTCTCAGCCTTGCCTCCATTTATGAGCACAGATCAGAGAGTTTCAGCAGCCTGCTCAAGGTCGCAGAGCAAGCTAGTCGGAGGCCAGGACTGGAGAGCAGGGCTGGGTGACTCCGAAAACCCACACCCACTGTCACTCACTATGCAGAGGACTCTGGTCACCAGCTCTCCCATAACCTTCCTCATGGTGGGACACCCTGAAAAGGCCAGCTTTTGCCCCTTAACTGGTGTTCGTTTGAGTACCTCTGAGTTGAATTAACTGGAGCAAGATGGATACTAAGAGGTAGCAGAGTCACTGTGAGTTTTGAAACACAGCTGTGTCCTACAAAATAGCATACTGAGAAACGTCTCTATGGATAGGAAATCAAGGTGCCCAGAAATCAGCCCGGTTCACCAAAACCCCAGGCAGAAACCACCCAGTTTCACAACGTTCTATTAATAATCCAGAACAAGCAAGCAAGAGGAGGGCAAAAAGGATGTACTGACAACACAGCCAGCCCCCTCCAGAGCTGGTGGGAGTGTGTGGAGAGCAGCGGCCTGTGCACCTGCTGCCTGGGTTCAGGTGTCCCTCTTGAGCCATATCGCCATCACACAGAAATGATTTTATTGCCTCAGGTCCCAAATGCTCCTCCCGAAAACCAGGGTGATAATGTAATGTCCCATTTAATTTATATTGTATTTTATATTATTATTTACTACGCTATTATTTCTATTATTATTTACTATTCTCTTATTACTCCATTAAGAGAGTTAAAATAAAAGAATCTAGTAGAAGTGTTTTGAAGAGCTTAATTTACAAATAAAAGATGTTTCTATAACACTTTTAGCATACCATGTAGATTCATCTCTTTTTTGGGGGTGCCTGGCAGGCTCAGTCAGTGACTGTGGGACTCTTGGTCTCAGGGTTGTGGGTTCGAGCCCCATGTTGGGTGTAGAGATTACTTAAAAATAAATTCTTTAAGGGGCACCTGGGTGGCTCGGTCGGTTAAGCGTCCGACTTTGGCTCAGGTCATGATCTCACGCTTAGTGAGTTCGAGTCCCAAGCTGGGCTCCGTGCTGACAGCTCAGAGCCTGGAGCCTGCTTCAGGTTCTGTGTCTCCCTCTCTCTGTCCCTCCCCTGCTCACACCCTCTCTCTGTCTCTCAAAAAAATGAATGAATGTTAAAAAAATTTTTTCTTAATAAATTCTTTAAAAAAATGTATCTCTTTTTTTTCTTACAATACTGTTTACTATATTCCCTGTGTTCTTTAGTCCCTAAATCTATAGGTAGATTTGTGTTGAAGGAAAATTGCTTTACTCTTCTTTTCCAATGTCTGCTTAGAATTATTTCAGTTACTTTTTACAGAAACTTCCATACCCAGATATTTACAAACTCCATGTTATATTTTACTATAAACTATATTTTGAAGGAAACATTGATTTCATTAATTTAATTTCCACAAATAATGATGATACATCTTTCCTAATAAAAATGTTTTCTAAAATTTTGAAGAAAACACTGATTTCATTAATTTAATTTCCGTAAGTGATAAATAATGATACATCTTTCCTAATAATAAAAATGTTTTCTAAAATTTATTAACAACCTAGTAGCAATAAGTTTGGGCTGTGGGCTCCTAGGTTCGAATCCCAGATGTTTTTACTAGTGAAGGGACCTGAGCTGACTGGGCTGCCTCTTGGGTGGCTTAGCCCAGAGAGCTGTCCTCAAGCCTGCCAGCTGGTCACGACCATCTCGCTGTCCTCAGAGTTCACCTCGCTGTCAAGCTCTTGGCTGATGGCTCAGAGCCTGAGCCCGTTTCCCGATTCTGTGTCTCCCTCTGCCCCCCCCCCGCCAAGCTGCTTTGTTCTCTTGTCCTAAATAAATAAAAAAACGTAAAAAGATCTTTATAAAAAAAAAAAAAAAAAAAAAAAAAGAGCTTGAATCTCTCCCTACCACATTTTCCTCGTCCATAAAATGGATACAATTCTTCTAAATCAGGTTCATTATGATAATAAAAAAATGGACTAGTCAGGATGTCTGATACATAGTTATCAACCAACAAATATTATCAATTGTTATTATTTTAAAAGGCAAAGAAAAAAAAGGAACATATATTTTGCAAGGCCTTCTTTCATAAATGTTAGAGATATCCTAAACAAGTATTCTGGCTTTTAAAAATACAGGAAAAAAAACTTCAATAGTAAAATAAATAAAATCCTTGAAGAGGTGAGCTGTGCACAAAACTATTTACTTCTTCACACTATTTTTTAAAGTACCCAAAACTTACAAAAGAATATACATGCTGACATTCATAGAAAAGATATCCAGGGAAACATGAGAAATACAATAAAAATGATTAAAGGTACGGTAAACAAAACTGATCATGTAGGTACACTGAGCCATCAATTCCAAAGGCCCTAAAGGTTGTTCCATGTATGTTCCAGCAACCAACAATAGGGGCCAAGACTGAGAGGCAGCAGCTAGTTCACGCAAGGTTAAGTACTGATTAAATTACTTTTCCTAGCATCAGCACCTGGGTGGCTCATTTGGGTAAGTGGACTTCGGCTCAGGTCATGATCTTATGTTTCCTGAGTTTGAGCCCCACCTCAGGCTCTGTGCTGACAGCTCAGAGCCTGGAGCCTACTTCGAATTCTGTAACTCCCTCTCTCTACCCCTCCCCTGCTTGCACTCTGTCTCTCTCTCTTAAAAATAAACATTTTTTTTTATTAAAAATAAATAAATAAACAACTTTTCCTATTACTAATTTCACGAGCATTTTGAGGAATAAATTTACTGGGAAAGTGAGATACTGAACACTAATTGCACACAGAAAAAAGGATATAGCAATACTGATCCGTGGAAATGACATGTTTTTGACAACATAGAATCTTACGTTTTGAAAGGACCATCATAGTGATCAAATTACTTACCACCTGCTAGAATTTTCCGAAATGAGCTAAGAAAGTAAAAGAAAACAGCAACAACACATATACATATACTCAGATGTACAAACAAAGGTGCTAATGGATCCCTTCCATTCAAGTTCATGTGAGTCCAGGAGATGAGGGGTTTTGTATACCTCCGTATAGAAAGCAAGAGACGAGAGAAGTAGCACACATGGGGCATGTGTTGGACAATACCAGCACCAGAAACAGGTGAACAGAACTGGGATGGAGGCAGAACACAGGAGAGACAGACTCCAGGGTGGCCATCGCTGTCAGGCTAATATCTGAAACGACTGTCATCTCTGGGGCCTGACACACCGAGCTACTGAGCTAAATATTTAAGTAATTGACACAATTTATTCTAATTCCCACAATAGCACTAAACACCTAGGAGGTAGGTGCCATCACCACTCCTATGTCATAAAAGAGGAGGTTTACAGAGGTAAGGTGACAGGGCTAGAATCAAACTCGTCTGGCTCCTAGCCATCATGCTGCTTGATCGGACCCCCCTGACCTACCTCCCCATGCACCAACCCACCCATCACAGAGTAGGCTCTTTTGTGCGATAAATACATATTTCCAACTCCCTCAAGCCTTGAAAGGCAGCCAGAGTTAAGGAGGTAGTGTCTGCTCTAATGGCTGCCCTGGAAAAAAAAAACCAAAACAAAACAAGGCAGGATGGAAAAGGGACCACGGGAACAGCGGATCTGCCCAGACACGGACTGGACTGCCAGGGAGATCTGAGATCCAGCCTCTGAATCCTCCTGACTACAATGCATTCCCCTCTTCAAAGAGCTGAGAGATTATTCCTCTTACACCATCCTGCCTCCTGAAGTCCTCTCACGACTCATCTCTTAACCTGAACTTGAACTTCCCCTGTAATTGACACTGCTTCTCCAGCCATTGACAAGATCGAACCTCCAAGTTACACAACGGTGTTCAAAAGAGAAAACAGGCAACTGCATGACTTGAGGGCAAACAGCGAGCTGCAACTTTGCGGGGTTTGTTTGTTTTTTTTTTATGTTGGAATTTTGTCACATCGACTTACACGTAGAAAATAAGTATTTAAATATTTTATATTTAAATAAAATCTTTATTAAGAATCTTATGAAATCAACTTCATCCCTGGCAAAGAGAAAAGCAAATGAGTGATGGAGTCTTCCCATATTAAAGGGAACAGTTATGTAACCATCTCGCGTGAAGAGCCAGGCTGAAGTCAGAATGATAAAAGCCCGAAATAGCCCTGCTTCTCTCCACAAGTTAAGATCACATGGGGGATTCCACGAGCAACATACTTCTCGTACAGCCTCTGTCCTCTCATGAAGGCCTTCACTTCATTGTCCAGCGGGAAGGTGCCGTCATCCTTCCGAAAGCGGTAGAAGAGTTTGACGTCCTTGAATTCCTTATGTTCATCACACACTGAAACACAATATACACAGAGAGGCCCATAAGAAAAAAACAAAACAAAACTCATTTAATTCCTCACATGCAGTGAGATGCTAATTAAGACTTGTTTCACTGCCTCATTTCTCAAGCACACTCCTCTATGATTTAATACAGGTATTTAACACAGTACCTGGAATAGAGTGAGTACTATCACCATCACCATCACCTCATTGTCTAGTAAAAGGTCACAAAATTCAATTCATCATTCATTCCACAAACTCTTCTTGAGCACAATGGGGGAGGTATCAGCCTCAAAGAATGTGAAGGCTAGTGAAATAAAGAGCAATGTCAGCATGTAGTAAAAATATGGTACAACATGGGGCGCCTGGGTGGCTCGGTCGGTTGAGCGTCCAACTTCGGCTCAGGTCATGATGTCGCAGTCTGTGGGTTCGAGCCCCGCGTCGGGCTCTGTGCTGACAGCTCAGAGCCTAGAGCCTGTTCCGGATTCTGTCTCCCTTTCTCTCTGCCCCTCCCCTGCTCACACTATGTCTCTGTCTCTCTCAAAAATAAATACACATTAAAAATATATATATACGGTACAACAGGGCAATGAAAGAGGTGAGGCGATACTGAAGTGACAGACCAAAGAACCCCCGTCGCCTAGCTGCAAAGAATGGACACTTCTCTGAAGAGCTCGCATGTAGTTAGAGACCTGAAGATTGGATAGAAAATGGGCAAAGTGAAGAGAAAGGGCATTCCAGCCCAAGAGAACATCAACATATGAAAGGTCTTGGTCAGTTTGAGAGATTTCAAGGAGACATGTTCATGAATGTTCGTAGAGATGTCGAGAGTAACAGCAAAAATTTGGAAACCCCTTAAATGTCCATCAGCAGGAGAACGGGTAAAGGCACAAAGGCATAATTATACATGGTATACGCAGCAGTGAAAATGAGCAAACATGGATGAATCTCACAAACAGCATGTTAATCAAGTTGTACAAGAATAATCATGCATTTTTATAATGATTTAAAGCACTTGCAACAGTATGATACTTTGCTAAGAGATGCATCTACAGAAAGGAAAAAGTATGAAGCAGTAAATGGAAATAAGCCCAAATGCCTCTTGGAGGAAAGAAGGGAATGCCACCAGCAAGAGGTGCACAGGAGACCAAGTGTTTTATCTCTTAAATGGGTAGGTTTGTATCTGGAATAGAAGACGCAGGCCGTGTCTTCCTCCCAAGCTACCTTGATGGTCGGTGGCCACCTCACTCACCGTGATGAATGATGCCCCGGTCTGCTAACTTCTGCATGAGTTTGATTGCTGTCTCTCTGTCAGAAGCCTCTTTGTGCTCAATCAGCCAGTCAATCAGTTCTTTGGCAACAAAGCAGTTTGGGTAGGTTTTGAGATGATGTCGCCTATCTTTAATAACCTTTTCTTCATGCAGCCTGAGCCTGGAAAGAAAGTTTGGCAATCACTTTAGGAATTTTAATGACAACACAGATCAGTCAGCCGATTGCAGAGCTCAGTAACAAGTGGAAGCTCTAAATGCATTCGAGTGCCGTTCACATCCCTGTATGTCAGTGGGGGAGGGGGCGGGGATGTTCTACACGGTCAGGGCCCAGAGGCCCCAGACAGTGATTGCACCCCCAGATCTAGAGATGATGCAAGCAAATGGAGGGGAAAACAACCATGGACAAGCTAGAGCTCTCCTGCCAGCCTGGAAACCGAGAAAAGCTTTCTCACCCCTGCTCTGTCTCACTGCCTTCTCTTTATTCCTCCACCAGTGGGCTTATGGCTTCGACCAAACAGCAAACAAAAACTCTAGAAACTTGCTGAAACCAGGTACTTCCTCTTCATCACAGATTGCTCAAGGTCACCACGTCTGCATTCGTTCACGTACGTAACAAATGAGTGTTCCAACCTCTGCTACTGTGCACTTCCAGGAATTAGAGACCTATGTGGGAAAGTGCAAGGGATCCTGGCCTTCACCTGTCCCGCTTTCTACAGGGGCAATAGCTTATCCTTACGTGACGCTTACCAGGTTCCAGATGCTTATCTGAGCACTTTCCACAGATGCACTAGTGTCTGCAACAACCTCATCAGAAGTTATTACCATCTCCTTTTTTTTTTCTTTTTTTTTTTTTACAGCAGAGAGAACTGAGGCCCCAGAGAGATTGAGTGACTTGCCACACAGCTAAAAAGTGATGAAAATTAGATTTGAACCTGTTGGTCTCCCTTCAGAGTCCAACTTCCCAAGTGTCACATCCTGCTGATTTTAGCCAGGGAGGGATAAACAAAAAATCCAGGAGAGATAGATTAAAGCTGTTGGACAAACACAATTTATTTACAGGCTGATGGATTAGTGTGGAGAAAAGTGGTTGACACAGAACCTTCCCTTACTCCCTTCAGAACTCAGTGGCTTTATTCCAAAAGAGTCTTTTTTTTAATGTTTATTTAATTTAGATGGGGCGCCTGGGTGGCTTGGTTGGTTAAGCGTCCGACTTCAGATCTCACGGTCCGTGAGTTTGAGCCCCGCATCGGGCTTTGTGCTGACAGCTCAAAGCGGAGCCTGTTTCGGATTCTGTGTCTCCCTCTCTCTGCCCCTCCCCCGTTCATGCTCTGTCTCTCTCTGTCTCAAAAATAAATAAAGGTTAAAAAAAAATTTAATTGGGGGGGGCAGAGAGAGGGGGAGACAGAATCCGAAGCAGGGTCTATGCTCTGAGTTGTCAGCACAGAGCCCAATGCAGGGCTCGAACCCACGAACCGTGAGATCATGACCTGAGCCAAAGTCAGATGCTCAACTGACTGAGCCACCCCGGTGCCCCTTCAAAGGAGTCTTAAACCTGCCTTTAAAAAAGAAAAAGAATTTCTTCCATTTGTTTTTCCTTCTCTTATCATCCTTGCATTTACTTTTTAATTCTTGAGTTGGGCGAAACACAAGATCAGTTTTCTTCCTGTTTCACCCCCATCATCCTATGCCCCTAACCTCATTTTCTCAACTGCCACATGAGTAAATCGCACAATAACTGTATGAGCTTGGCAAGTGGCTTAATGTCTCTTTCTTCCTCTGTAAAATGAAGGCAGTTATGCTCAGCCTATCCTTGGCCACGTTGAGACTGGGCGACATAATGTCTATTAAGTACCAGCACCCAGCATAGTGCCTGGCACAGAACAGGTCCTGACCTCCTTTCTTCTACTCCCTAAGGAAAAAAGTAGATGATACTCTTGCCTGCTTTTTGAACAGAGCTCACCTAATGAAATTTAACGGGTTTTGATACCCCAGGGGTTATAGTATACGTTGGGAGAACTCTGAGGCTTAGATCTCTTTCTTGCTAGACCACTGTTCTAGGCTGAAGTATGTTCCCTTAAAATTCGTATGTTGAGGCCCTAAACCCCAGTACTTCAGAATATGACTATATTTGGAGATGGGGCTCTTTTAAAAGGCAATTAAATTAGGGGCACCTGTGTAGCTCAGTCGGTTAAGCATCTGACTTTGGCTCAGGTCATGATCTCGCAGGTTGCGAGTTCCAGCCCCATGTCGGGCTCTGTGCTGACAGCTCAGAGCCTGGAGCCTGCTTCAGATTCTGTCTCCCTCCCTCCCTGTCCCTACCCCTCTCACACTCTCTGTCTCTCCCTCTCAAAAATAAATAAAGAAAATTAAAAAAAAAATGTTTTAAGGTAATTAAATTAGGGGCACCTGGGTGACTCAGTCCATTAAGGGTCCAACTTCGGCTCAGGTCATGATCTCATGGTTCATGAGTTCAAGCCCCATGTCGGGCTCTGCACTGACAGCTCAGAGCCTGGAGCCTGCTTTGGATTTTGTGTTTCCCCCACTCATGCGGTCTCTCTCTGTCTCAAAAATAAACATTAAAAATAAAATAAAAGGTAATTAAAACAAAGTCATGAGGGTGGCCCTAATATCATGACTAGCATCCTCATAAAAAGAGGAAATTAGGACTCGCTCATGTAGAGAGGAAACCATGTGAAGATACACAGAGAAGGTGGCAACCTCCAAGCCAAGGAGTGAGACTTCAGAAAAGCCAGCCCTGCCAGCACCTGGATCTCAGATTTCTAGCCCCCGTACATTTCTGTTGTTTAAGCTGCTCAGTCTGTGATTCCCTGTAATGGTGGCCTAAGCTAAGACAACCACAAAGTACTTAAGACCGGAGGCACCTGAGTGGTCCGGAAATGAAGTGCTCAGCTGGGACATCAGCACGGAGAAGGGAGAGGAGGAGAGAAATGAGGGTCCTAACTCCTGTAAGCTGAACAGAAAGAAAAAAACCAGGGCACCTGGGTGGCTCAGGCAGTTAACTGTCTGACTTCGGCTCAGGTCACGATCTTGTGGTTCTTGAGATCGGGCCCCACATCAGGCTCTGCACTGATGGCGCAAAGCCTGCCTGGGATTCTCTCTCTCCCTCTCTCTCTGCCCCTCCCCACTTGCTCTCTCTCAAAATAAATTACAAAAAAAAAAAAAACATTTTAATTGAGCTCCTACTATATGCTCCATATTATACTAAACATTTTCACATATGCTCATTTTTTAAGTGTTTTATTTATTCTTGAGAGAGAGAGAGAGAGAGAGAGACAGAGCACAAGCAGGGGAGGGGCAGAGAGAGAGGGAGACACAGAATCCGAAGCAGGCTCCAGGCTCTGAGCTGTCAGCACAGAGCCCGATGCGGGGCTCGAACTCACGAACTGTGAGATCATGACCCGAGCTGAAGTCGGACACTTAACCGAGTGAGCCACCCAGGCGCCCCGACACATATGCTAATTTAACTTCTACGGCCTGAACGTTGCATGCTCCCCAAGTTCGTATATCAAAATCCTAAACCTCAAAATGTCAGTTACGGGGGCAGTCAGAAACAAGACTAGGAATATGAACACTAGGCTCTCGTCCTGACACCACCAGTAATTCCAGACGATTACACTTCCGAGCACCAGAATCTTCACTGGGAAAATGGGGACAATTATATCCATGATGATTACTTCATCACACAGTTACAAAGTTCATTAACAAAGATAAGGACAGCATTTGAGCCCTTACTATTTGTTAGGCACTGTTTTACCTGCTTTATTGGCCATCAATCCTCATGACAACCCTCTGACGCAGGTAATGCTAAAACCGCAATACCAACAGAGTTGTAATTATTGATAAAAAATAAATGAAGCTTAATAAAAAACATGTTCACATAGGGGTGCTAAAGCCTCACATGAATCCTTCTAATTAATTCAGTGGCAATGACACTGAGTAATTTGTTTAACATGCTCAAAGTGGCAGAATGTGAAACATTAATTCTTAGACACGATGTCTGTCAGGAATCCAAGGATAATGAAGACCAATTTATTTAGAAATTGAAATGTGGAACAAGCTACCATCTAATTTGGTGGAGGAGGAATTTGTTATGAGCCAAGAGAAGAGATTTAGCTCCTATAAACTTTCCAATTAAAAAAAATTATTAGGTAATATTTATCTTTAAATACTACAAAATAGAACCTTTTGGTTACTATACTTTCTTGAACCCTGAGAGTGGGGCTAATTCTCGAGCATTTTTGATTCCCGCCGATCCTCACCCTGCACAGAGGGGAGAAGCCCCTGCCTCTTCAGCTCTACCGGGGCCTGGTACATTTCCACGTTCAGAAACCTGAGCAGACAGATGATGGACAGGAAAGAACTCTGGATCCAGGAGATACTGATATTTTTAGACAGGTTACCGGGGTCAATAATCGTGCTACCATCTTTTTTTTTTTTTTTAATTGTTTTTAACGTTTATTTATTTTTGAGACAGAGAGAGACAGAGCATGAACAGGGGAGGGGCAGAGAGAGAGGGAGACACAGAATCTGAAACAGGCTCCAGGCTCTGAGCCGTCAGCACAGAGCCCGACGCGGGGCTCCAACTCACGGACTGTGAGATCATGACCTGAGCCAAAGTCAGATGCTTAACTGACCAAGCCACCCAGGCGCCCCAACCATCTTTTTTTATTTCATAGCCAGAAATACAGAATTCTAAGAATGAGCATTAAGAATTATACATTCCAGGGGCGCCTAGGTGGCTCAGTCTGTTGAGCATCGACTCTTGATTTTGGCTCACATCATGATTTCAGGATCGTAAGATGGAGCCCCAGGTCAAGCTGAGTGTGGAACCTGTTTAAGATTCTCTCTCTCCCTCTGCTCCTTCCCTGCTTGTGCTCTCTGTCTAAAATAAAATTGTAAGACAAATTGTACACGCCAGAAAAACTACCCCAATAAAAAGATAAGAATTTTCACACTGCCAACACATAACCAAGTGTTTCCATGTAGCATTGTGGGCACGTAATGTTTGCTGAACAAATGAATGTCCAAGGACACTAACAAATGACGCCATTTTCAAAAAGGTAAGGAGGCTTCTCAAGTAACTTAATAGGAGTCCCACTCCACAACTTAGTAGTAAACATCTATTATTACAAAACTACG